CTCAACTTGGATCATAACCAAAGATGCAGCCGGGAATATGCCAGGAACAACACTTATTCACATTAACTATTAACTAGGTACACAAAAGCTTGTCTAACCTAACCAAGAGGAGGGCTCCACAGGAAACCACCCTGATGTGACGTAGGTTGACCTAAAAGAGAAAATCAAGGCTAAACCCGCTCAAACGAACCAAGCTAGCTTCAGTCACCCATCTTTCGCTGTAGACTGTCGAATGCAAGCGTTTTCTATCAGTTCTAATCTTCATCTTGAGCTGAAAGAATCGGATCAGATCCTGATGAGAAAGGCGGTTGCCTCGCAAGACATCCTCCTGTGGCGTCATCCAAATCACCATTCGGGCCGTGGCCAGCAGCGTCAGAAACACCATGCATTTCAACCCAGAATACGGGGGTGACACATTGTCACACGCGTATGCGCGATCAATGAGCACGAGCTTTTCAGAAGGACAATGGTAGAAGGCGTGCGAAGTTCGTAGAAAATGGTGTTGCAGGTCTGCTGGTTGCTAATGTGTTGAATATACCTCGTTTGCGTTGTGTCGCCATATTGTCCAGCCAAATCAGATCATGTCGGGGTCACCACTTGTAGCGGGCGGTCCGGTGGCCCCGTTTCACAGAAAGGGGTGAACGAGGTCACAAGAGGCCCGCTAACATTTTTTGAAGACGTTAAATCTGACGGTGAAACAATATGGACGACAGAACGAGGATATATATGATATAAAGGTTTATTCTAAAAGGAAATGAAGATGGTCGGAAACGGTGGAGGTGCTAGATGCTGCAGGAGTGCTGGATACTGCAGGAGTGAGCCGGATGCTGCTGGAGTGCTGGATACTGCAGAAGTTTTAGTGCAGGTCGAGGTTGGCAGTTGCTAGGATCATCGTTGTTGGGGGTTGAAGCTGATGTGGGTTGTTGCCAGGATGATCGCTTGGTGGTTTCTGATGTTGAGTGATGCCAGGATGATCTTTGTTGGTTGTTGAAGCTGAGTCGTTGCCGGGGTGCCAACTTGTTGCTGTAGTTCGTGTTGCCAACTCGTTGTTTGTCATTGCCGGGATGCCAACTTGACGTGTTGGGAAGGAAGAGAGAGAAAGAAAGTTCCCAACTATCGTCAAGTTGGCAGACAAAAAGAAATGGGAGCGTAACTTAATACACAGCTCGTAGATCGGCGCCCTTGGCCAATGATGGCCAAGGGGCCTGCGTAGACGACCGTTGCGGCCGCCGACAGCCTCCGCGAATCTAGGGAGAAATCACTGTCTTGTGACGCGGGGGACCAGCAAGAGAAATTGGCTAAGCTAACCGAAAAGTGTCTATAATAAAATGCTACGAGGTTAGCTAAAGATAACTAATGTCTAAAAATGACTAGATGTATATTACAACTAGGTTTGTAATATAGCCTAACTAAAAAGGGGATTTGCTAGTCCCTCTGACGTGTTAACAGTGTGTAAGGAGTATGAATGAGAGGTCAAGGTCGAAAAGACCTGTTCCTCTGCTGGTTCAAGGACAGAAGGAGGAGGTAACTCCGACAGGACCACAAAAGTAAAACACGGAACACGGATTAGATGTAAGAAAGATATATTAACAACAGGTTACAGAGATAGTGTAAGCGGAGCTTACTATATCACTCTCTGTCACTCTCTAGAGTGTTATGTCGCCTACTTAATATAGGCCTGGAAGAGTCTATTGTGTAGGTAGTTTCCGGTCTCACAATAGAAAGCTAGGTACCTCCACCTTTTCGCAGGAAAACAGCATAACATAATGAAAAAAGCCACAAACTTAATAAAAATAAAGTATTATTGTCAAAATGTTATTATTAAGATGAAAGACTAAAGCATTTTTTAATTATTTTTTAATCCTTTCTAAAACGTTCAAAATTTTAGTTAAAATCTTGATTTGTTCACGTAATCGCGGTGGCATAATCATAACACTACTTTTTTGCACTTTTTTCCGTTGAAAACAAATTGATTGGGAATTACTGTAAAAATTAAACAATTGTCCGATTTTAATGAAATTTTCAGGACTTTTCACAAATGAATAAAATTATATTTGAGGTTTTTTTTTTAGAAAATTTTGATAAAAAATATTTTTTTTGCATATGTTACAGTCCCCACTTACTTAATTTCATGAAATTTCGCAGAAAACCTTTCTATTTCCTAAATTTATTTTATTCGGTAAAAGTAGGACTACTTGGAGAATCTAAATCACCTATTTTTTTTCAAAATTGCACTATTCAAAATCTGCTCTGAATTGAAAAATAATGAATGCAATAAGACTATGACATTATTTAATTTGAAAATGTTTTAATTGCTTTTGTAAATAAGCACATTATTGTCTGAAGAAATAAAAATTTTCCAATGACTAATTAATTTTTACAAGATTTTTCATATTTTAAAAAATTTAATTATAATAGTTTAAAATCGTGTAAAATTCTGTATTGGGCTATTTCCTGGAAGTGATATAGTAATTAGGTGGAAATGAAATTTACGAATCCAAAATTGAAAAGATTAATAAACGGAGTTACGCTTGTCGGAGTTAGCTCCTCCTTTAGTTCGTTAACCCTTCAACAGGGGTCTCTCTCCCCTGGCTATAAATACTCGCTGACACTTCGCCTCGATCTCTTTTCCCTCAGGCCTTCTGAGCATGTTGGACGTTTTTGGCTGTTTTTCACTTTGCATTTGAGACCGTTAATTTGTCCAGCTGAGAAATTTTTTTGAACTTTTGACGTTATTACGTTACGTTTTGGATTTATTTTTACCGTTTTCTTACGTTCCTTTTTGATTGTTTGGTAAATATTTGATTTTTTCTTTCCTTTTAATTTCGTACCGTCCCCATTTTTTATTTTTTATTTATTTTGCTATTAATTTTTTATTATTTAATTTTTTTATTTATCTCTTACATTTTCTTTTTCCTTTTTTGAATTTATTTTCTCCCCGTATCCACTTCCCAGAGTTATTTTTTTATTTTCACGTTCGACTTTATTTTTCTTTGTTTATTATTACACGTCACTTTATTCTGTCTTCTTTCTTTTAATCCGTAAATTTTCTGTGTTTTTTATCTGTTTATTATCGTCTGTAAAATATCTGTTTGTAAATTTTGTGTTTATTTTGTATATTCCGTCCATTTTTTTCCTTTCGTTTTGTTTTTAGGGTAGACCGTCTTATCGGAAGCCGTATTGTAAATTGGGACATTATGTTTTCCGTTTATAACTGTTCTTTTTATTTGTTGCTTTCTTGTCTGTCGTCCTGTTTGTACTTGTTTTAAATTTGTAGTTTCGCCTTTTGGCGAACCTTGTTTACTTGTACGTCCAATTGTTTATTTAAATTGTTTCGCCGTGTCTATTTTATCTTTTTGTACGTCCTTTGTCGTTTTGTAAATTTGTATTTTCGCCTTTGGGCGAACCCTGTTCACTTGTACGTCCATTTGTTTTGCGAACCTTGTCTATTTAATTTTATTATACGTCCTTCTGTTTTGTGAATTTGTAGTCTCGCTCACCAGCGAACGTTGTTTTTTGTATTTATTAATTTTGTTGTCTCGCTGTTAAGCGAACGTTGTTTGTTTTAATTTTTTTTCGTCTCCCTTGAAAATGGAAAGAAAAAGGGTACCATCCTTTTTAATTATAAGGTGGCCGACCTTAGGAGGTCAGTAAGAAAACATCTGTTTTCCATTAAAATAGACCCCCTCTCCGATAAGAATGATCCCGAAGAATACCCGGCAACAGTCCCCGATAATCAGGAGGCTGTTAATGCCAATGACGTTACAAGTATGGAAGCCGATAATGTCATTTCCGATAAAAGTACGGTGGCCCAAAATAGTTAAAATATAAAAAGTACGGTGGCCAATAATGGCCCAAATAAAAAAAAAAGTATAGTGGCCAATAAGGGCCAAGAACGAGACTAAATATCACCATCAAATTATAAGACCAGTGAAAACACAGAGGCCGGGGAATTGCCCTGTTGTTGGAAGTCCCCGCCACCCGAAGAGTATAATCGATATTGTGGAGTTATTGGAGCGTGCCAAGAGTTACGCACACCTCCAAAGAACTGAAGAAGATCAAGAAACGAATCATCTTCGTCGTCGATAAGCGTGCGCGCAAGATTTGTCGTTCGACGAGAGACACAGTGGTAAAAACACTGGAGTCCCAGGGGTTTAAGTCACTAAGAATCGTCAAGGGTTAGGGATTTTTCATGTGGGACATATTGCCACCCACGCCAGAAGATTGCCTGAAAATGACAACTAGAGAAATCATTACCAAAAACATTATTCTGAGAACGGTATATGAAGGCAGGAGTAGCGATATACGAGGTCCCTCCTCAGGTTATCGGGGAACACCTAACGGCATTCCTGTCGCAGTATGACGAGATTCTGGGTGCTTCCTGCGATAGCTTGACCGGGGGTGTGGAGTTTCCATATCATGTTTGATCAAAAAGTCTTCCTCTCCATCCACAACTGTCTGTATGTTGGGAGCCTGAAGCTGCCGGTCATCGTAACTGGCCGCAAACCAGTGTGTTGAAAGTGTGGGAAGACTGGTCACCTTTCTTCTTCTGTCCAGAGAAGAAGACCTCTGGAGGTCAGGCCCCAAGCGATCAAAATCCCCCTCTGACCGCGTCTTTGAATACCACCTCGCCTGTAATGGGCATGCCAGCTGCTGGGACCGGAGTGGAGAAACCCACGGTTGGGTCAATTTCGAAGCCCCCATTCCCCGAAGAGCCTTCGCCCTCTGCTAGTGCAGTAGTGGAGAAGAGGGAGGGGGAATGGATGGTTGCTGGCAAAAGCAGAGGGAAGCACCGGACAGCGGGTCCTCAGTCCCCTGAAGCCCCCGGGACAAAAGACACGGACAGTCCTACTCCCATTGTCAACAGTAAGGGCGATGCCCCGGCCTCGAAAACCTCATTGCAATAACTACAAAATAAATATGATCCTGGTTTTGAGAAGACCGAAAAAATTAAAAAATTAAAAGAAAAGCTTGACTCCCAAAAGGCCCCTAAATCTAAAATGGCCACTCCTGCAACCTCCTCTGCCCCACATTCTCAAGAGACACTTTCCTCCCATCCAAAAAAGACCTCCCCTAGGAAAAATGCTATTACCTCCACGTCTTCACAGAAACAGTACTCCCAACCATCATCTCCCGTCAAGACCCCTACAATTCAAAAGGTCACTCCTTCCACTTCCTTCCATTCCTCAACCCCTCTCAGTAGAGACCCCAGCCCTTTCAGACAACATTTTATTCCTTGTTCCTCTCCCAGTCCTTCACCACTTAAACCACCCCTTAACACAACTGAAATTCCCCCTCCTATTAGTAAGAGACAAAGAAGTCCTAATCAGGACGCAAACGACAAAAGAAAGAAACTTCCCAAACACATCTACAACAGTGGAGAAGACATCTGCCGCATTTCCCCGACTCAAGCAGAGAAAGCCAGGGATTATGGCAATAGGATCAAGAACCTTAAATATCTACTCTCCATTAAGCAATATGCTGATAAAGACATTGAGGATCCGAAAAACTTCCCTAAGGCCCAACGGGTTTTGACGGTTATAAGAACTGGCACGGGAGCGCGTCAATGTTGTGCAATGTTGGATGAGGCAATAGCTTCCTTCAAAATGACGCCCCCACCCCATAGCGATTGTCCAGAACGACAAGCTAAAATAGCTAAAACAATTTTGTGCTGGGCGTGTCCCTATTTTCGTTCACCCCTCCCTCTATAGAGCACTAAAGTTGACCTTCCTCTGGGATATCGGCAGTCTCTCCCAAGACGGTATCATCAAAACTGAGATGGGCCATGGGTCGATGGGAGAGGCGGTCGGTATCCTTTCCCCGGCCATGTTTAATTCAGCAGAGCAACCCTAATCGGTCTGACAATGTCTCTCTGGTTAGCTAGTCTGAATGCCCTTGGCCTGAGGTCCGAGTCTCGAAGGGCGAGGCTCTGTGTGCAAGAGATCCGTTTTTCTTTTCGCGATCATGACAGCATTCTGTCTAGAGGGCTTTCCCTCTTTTCAGCATGTTATGATGGACGCTCGAGGGGTATCTCTTGGCTGGTGAGCAAGTCCTTGAAGGCTGCGTGTGCTCTTGTCTTCGCAGATCCGGCGAGCAGACTTTGCGTGCTGGATGTTACCATAAGGCTTTACGTCTCATTGGGGTTTATGCGCCCAATAAGCATTTTGAGCGGCCTGCTTTGTTTCGGCAGATCGAGCCGTTCTTGGCGTCATCTCGTCGGGTAGTTTTAGCGGGGGATTGGAATGCCGTCCTTGACCCCGATATAGATCGTATAGGGTCAAAATTGGGTACTAACAACCCGGACGTAAAACCATTTCGGAACTTTATCGACAGGTTTGTTCTTGTCGATAAATACCGAAATGAACACCCTCGGGAGGTAGTGTGGACTTGGACTAATAGTGGCAGCTCGGGTACTCAAGTGCTTTCTAGCTACCTGAGTCTTAGTTAGGAGAGTCGATGTAGGGTTCTTAGGGTGTCCAAGTGTCCATTGTATAGTTTATTCGGATCATAGGCTAGTCCGGGTCCGGGTAAACTTAGATAAGCCTAAACTTATATAAAAGATAACTTAGATAAACTTAGATAAGCACCGTTAAAATGGCTGGTTACTGGAAATTGAACTGCTCATTATTTGGGGAGCAAGATTTCCGGGACCAGCTGCTACTAATGACGGGGGCTGTGGTGGGAAATGCCTGGTGGGATAATCTTAAATCCAAAATTAGAAGGTTTGATGCTGATTATAGTCGTCGGCTCAATCAAGATGGATTAGCGGCGCAAACGGCTTGTGAGCAAAAAGTTGATCAGGCGATTAAATCCCGTGATAGTGGGGACGTAGTCTTAACTAAGGCGGAGTTGGCCTCCTTGCTTATCAAGAAGGATCAAGCTCTGGTAGTTAGGGCTAGGTTAAAAAGAATGTCTCCTGAGGCAACGAATATGGCCTGCAGAGAAGGTTCGGAGTGCATCTCAGCGGCATATCGCATACGTCACATTGCCAGATAAGCGGAACGTGATTACAAACGAGGGCATATGTGAGGCTTTTCGTGAGTATTTTCAGGAACTTTTCACCAGGGAGCCCGGTCTGAGCCCTGCTCAGTTCGACGCCTATTTAGCTGACTTCCCCTGAAGTGGCTAGGTGCGAGGGTCCCATAACAGAGTCGGAAATCTGGGATGCGCTGAAACAGGTTGGCCTGGACAAATCTCCGGGATTAGATGGTCTTCCGTACGAAGTGTACTTGAGGCAGTTGCCCGTTTTTGTTCCCTTCCTGGCACTGATTTTTGGCAACTGGTTGAAGCAGGGGTCTATACCCCAACGTTTCACCAGGGGCGTAATCAAGTTGTTATGCGACCCCCGGTGCGCTGGTGGAGGTGAACGGAGTACGATCGGAGCCTTTCGTATTGTCTCGCTCCATTCGTCAAGGTTGTCCGCTTTCGCCTTTGCTGTACGTTTTGCGTTGGAACCTTTCTTTCGCAGGTTAAAGACGAATCCGGTCCTACGCGGAATTTCCCTACCTGCCGCTACCAACGCGCCCAGGTATTCTGCCTATGCTGATGACGTTTCGGTTCTTGTGTCGAGCAGGTCCGAGATTAACGAAGTCAGCAAAGAAATCAGTGATTATGAGATGGTGACAGGGGCCAAGATCAACCGCGATAAGTCTGTTGGCTTGCTGTTTAGTGCGTGGAAGGGAGTTTCTCTTCTGGGACCTTTCCTCTGGGCGGATGGGCCAGTCAAGATTCTCAGCGTCTGGTTCGGTCCTAATCTCCAGTTGGATATGAATTGGTCGGAGGGCAAGGGAAGGCCGAGATCGCAATTAATTTGTGGTCTCGGAGGAATCTTTCCTTAAAGGGGAGGGTGGAAGTATGTGTTTCACACATCTACCCGATTCTCCTTTACCGACTCTCCGTGCTTCCACTTCCGTCTGACACTGTACTGGCGTTAATGAAGCTCTTGTTCGCCTTCTTGTGGGGAGGCAAGGCTGCCAGTGTCTCTCGGGAGATCTGTTGCCTTCATCCATCTGAAGGCGGTCTAGGTATGCCTAGCATCGAGATTCGTCAATATATGCTTCGCGTCGGGTTCCTGGATCGAATGTGTCGCGAAGCGGATGAGGAAGACTCCCGTAAGAACTTCCCATCCTTGAGAAGTGTGCACTCGGCCGAGGAGGAGGCTCACCGTTTACACAAAGCCAGGTGCTCCTTCTACCGTGAATGTCGTCGTGCTCTGAAAAGACTTCCATGGGCGTTGGATGGCCTCTCCAACGCCCAGGCGTTGTCTCGTAAGGCATTATATCAGGTGTTAGTTAGGGAGGCCGTTCTTGATGATTTGATTGACGAGATCGGTCTTACGAAGCGGGAGGCTCGCTCGATATGGCCTTGGGCGCCCGGGTTGAAATGTAACAATAAGAATGAGGCATCTCTCACCTGGCTGGTGATGCGTGGGGCCCTCTGCGTCAGCAAAAGGCTGCTTAGCGGGCTTGGAGAAATATCCAAACTGCCGCCTTCTTTCATTGCTCGGTAGTAGCACCGCTGTGTAAGTATGTTGAAGGCCTCATGGTTTGCATGCTGCCTGGAAAGTTCTTTGTCCTTGAGGCCGCTTCTGTTTGTAGCAATGTGGCTCCGCTGTTGACGAGGGCTGAATACTATGTGTTCATATGCTTACTAGGTGTTATGAGAGTCGTGATTTGGACGACACGTCAGAAAGGATTCTATGGAGACGAGAAGTCTATCTCTTCCCAGCTGATCTTGTACTTTAGGCATCAGCTTAAAGTCAAGATTAGGTCGAAAAGGCGGCGACTCACTTCATCTGAATTCGGCAAAAGGTGGGTGAATCTTGCGCGTTTGTGTCGTGTGAAAGGGGCTGACCGGAGTGGCACATTGATGCCGGTTAGGCATCAGGATATTGCTTTAGCTGGGTTGAACACGGTCAACCCACCCAAAAATTTAGGTTAGCTTAGGTTTAGTTTTTTGAGTCTTTAGTTTCCTTTTTCAGTAAACTTAGCTAGGGTATGTATGCTCATTGACCTCTTTTATTTCTGTCCCTATCTTTCTTTAAGTTTAATTCCCCATCCCCTCCCTCGTTAGGTGGTCAGTGACGTCAGTTCTCTGGTGGATGCGAGGCGTTTTTTCGTTTCGGGTGTGACTTTTCGTATCTGTTGTTGTGTCTGAATGAGTGCATGTCTGCGCGAGTGCTTGGGATGAATGAATGTTTTTAATTTCTTATAGTCCCGCATTAATTTCGTCTAGTTAACTGATGTTTCTGCCATATTTAGTGATTGTGGGGGTTTTATTACTAACACAAAGTTTGTTGTCAAGGAATTATTATTTTCGATTATCGGTCGTTTACCCAAAACAATAATTTTTCGTTAACAAACTTTTGTGTTTAAAAATTTATCTCTATTTTCTCTGATGTAAAAAGAATTTAATTTTATCAAAATGAAATTCTTCTTTTAAAAAGACCGATTTAAAATCTCATTGATTACATTTTGGCTTTATGAATAATAATTCAATTCGCTTCTCAGCCAACAATGACCTTCAAACAAAAAGCGGTCAGCTATTCAAAACAATTTTTTTTTCGATAACAACTTTTGTGCTTTAAAAATTATTTCTGCTGTCAAAGAATTTTTCTTTGTTGCTGACTTTTCAAAATATGTCCCAAATAATTTTCTGCACATGTCTAAATTCCTTGGCTTTGCAATACTTTTCGGCTTACATTTTACATTTCTCAGATGTCAGATAGCTTATATGCTGGCCTGGAAAATAGTAATTCTATTTGCCTTGTGATCAGAAAGGGAAAAACAATTCTTTTTTCCCTTCGTTTCATATTTCAATTCATGTTTTTACCTTAACGATTTTAACCCTTCCAATACTCCAATTCCTGTAAGGGGTTTCGACATGAACCCTTTTAATCCTAATTTCATACTACCAGTGTCACAATAGTAACACATTCCTCCCTTTCCCCATTTCACTCATTTGCTTGTAAATGATACCCCACAAAATAATAATGAAAACAACAAACAAGCAGTGGAATTAAAAAATCTTTCATTTTACCCAATTATAATACCACATGCATCGTTTTTCCATTAACCGTGCAGTCTTTTCATCTTTTTTTCTGGTTCATGAGAATGCATATTTACATTGAGGTCATCCCTTACAAATAATCGCTTGACCGGTTGTTATGGTTCATTCTCTTGGTCAATTTCTCTCTTTCCACAGTAGGAGATGTTGGCTCCACCTTGACATGTGTCAATTCTGCTTCCTGTTCTCCTGACGCATTCAATTCAGTCTTTCCCGCGTCTGGATTCAATCTGCTTGGGTAAGGAACACTAGATGGCATCCCATTCTCGATTTGATCCAAGTCCGCCAACATCTGTGTATTATTTGATTTCTTTCTAGGCTTTTCATCTACTATATTACTGTCAGTATGGCAGCAATAAATACGAAGATACCTAACTAAGCATGTCCACTGTTTTCGCGGAAAAACAGCATAGCGTAAATGAAAAATGCCACAAACTTAAAGAAAATAAAGTATTATCGTCAAAATGCTTATGTTATTATTTAGATGAAAGAAAAAAGTATTTTTTAATTATTTTTTGAAATTTTTTTAATATTTTCTAACACGTTCGAAATTTTGGTTAAAGTCGTCTTTGTTTACGTCATCGCGGTGACGTTTAAAATAACATTGTTTTTTTTGCGTTTTTTTACCGTTGAAAACATATTGATTTGGAAATTCTTGTAAAATAAAATAATTGTTCGATCTTAATGAAATTTTCAGGACTTAGTCACAAATCAATGAAATTATTTTTGAAATATTTTTTTTTAGAATATTTTGGTAAAAAATATATTTTTTTAAAATATGTTACCCCACATTTACTTAATTTAATGAAATTTCGCCCAAAACCTTTTTGGTTACTGAATTTTTTTTTTTTTTTTTTGTTAGAAGTAGGAGTCTTCGAAGATGGTAAATAACCTACTTTTTTTTCAAATTTGAGCTATTTAACAGAAAATCTGCTCTGAATTGAAAAATAATGAATCCAATAAAACTATGATATTACTTAATTAGAAAAGCTTTTAATTGCTTTTGTAAATAAGTAATATTAAGGACATTATTGTCTGAAGAAATAATTTTTTTTCTGATGAATAATTAATTTTTACAAGAATTTTTTCGTTTTTTAAGAAATTTTAATTATAATAATTTATAATAGTTTTAAATCGTGTAAAGCTCTGTATTAGGAGGGTTCCTCGATATTATGTAGTAATTAAGTAGAAAACAAATTTACGAATCCAAAATTGCTAAGTTTAATAAATTTAGTTGTGCTACTTTTTTAAAAAAATAATTTTTATGTTGTATTTTTTACTTAATACATTCCTTATTTCCATGTATGATATACAGAAATTGCCATTATTATAACAAGGTCACGTGATCTAAGGGTTTTGTCCTTTACGTGGCCTTTTACAAAACATTTCGTTTCTTACAGGTTGTATTTTCCGTTCAGCTTTAAAAGTGTAAACTTTAAATTTCAAATTATTTTTTTTTTTCATTTACTATTTCACTAAATAATTTTATTTTATATATTGTATTTCCATTAGTGTGTGTCATACTCAAATAGAATAATTTTTTAAAAACTCAGACTTAAAAATTATGTCATTTATGGTCATCAGTAGTAGCTGTCATCGGCTCGTCAATCAATAGATCGAACAGATGAACAGGACCGCTCGTTAATAATTGGTTGTATATTATTTTTTTTATGCTATAAGTAACAAAGATTTCTTTGAAATCAGATTACTTTAACTTTAAATTTTTTAATTTTACTAAAATAACGTGTCAGAATTTTTTTTAAATATTTTAAAAATCGATAAATTTGTGTTTGTTTACAAATTTCTTAAAATTAAGAAAATGTTCGTTTTTAAGAAAATTTAAAAATTTGAAATTAAATTTGACAATCAAATTTCTATCTGAAATACACCAGAATTGTCTAATTAATAGAAATCGTAAATTTAATTATTAAACTTTCAATTAAAGCTAAAATGAAATCTTCAAGAATGTTTTTTCGTTGTAAAAAATTCATTTTAAACTTCAATATAGAAAATTTATGCCGAAATAGTGGAGGTACTTATACCTAACATAGCGGACTAGGTCATTATGATTCCTGAATTATCTCTCTTTATTACATTCTCTTTACCATGGCATTCAATTTGCCTTTCAATTGTTCAAGACTAATTTTCCCTAGTTGCCTTGGCATTGCCTTTAATGTAGCTTCCTGGAACTTCTCTACCACTGGTTGCCATATCTCTGTCCAAGTATCATTTCGATTAATTTCACTAATAGATCTTTTTCCTCATATTTCTCTTCGGTCTGATAACATGGGGGAGGGGGATTTATATTGTGAATGCTGAACATCCCAGGAGTAACTCTATCAAAGCCAATGGTGATTCTATTTTTATTGTTCCAGCAGGTCTTCCAACACACACTCGAGACAGATACATCTGACTCTGGATGGCTACCATACAGATATATTAACAGCTTGTGGCCATACTGTATTTGCCAAAATCTCCATTTGACAATTTTCCTTAATCATCTTTTTGTCGCCCATAAACAATTCAAACATATACAATCTCTGATTCCCCGTCACATAAATAGGACTGGCTGAAGTATACGTTTCTAATTCACATTTCCTTGCTTCTTCCGTTGTCAACTACATAGCTTCCGATCTTGCTGAATTTAAAGCTATATATTCTGCCTCAATTTGATACTTTGCAACCACCCTTGGAATAGTTAATTTCATCACCTGATATATCTCAAAATTACTTTCCCTGTCTAACAATTAAAACCAGCAGTCTGTTATCTTTTAGTAAAGCAACACAACTTAGTGTCTTGTAGTATCTCCATAACTTTTCGATGGTGTCCACTGGCAACCTCAAATGGCGAGGTTTGTATTTTCAGCAGTAACTTCTTCAAGTGACCCAGAGTCATTATAGTCGGGGACAAATGTCCCAGGGAAAACATGTCCAGCTGAGCACTCACATGCTCTAAAAAAATCATGAGTTGTCTAGTCTGGCGTACCTTATTAAGAATTGTCATTAATTGAAAATACTGCTGGATGAAAATACTTACACCCTGTAAGTCAATGACCATAGAAATATTCGCCACCTCTTGTCTCAGCTCTTTGCATATCACTTATTAACCCATTTATAATCCTGACACATTCCGTATCAATATAATTCCTTGCGCCCCCTAGGCTAACATTCTCTGATCCTTTTCCACAACTCCCAGCAATTCTCTTATAATTTTATTTTCTGCTTCGGTCACTGTTCCGAACAGAACGCTTAATACCTTTCCAACAATGGGGATTACTGCTCTTTTCCTTCTTGTCTGTAACAGTTCTCAATTTATGTAACAGCACTTTGTAAGGGTTCAAATCTATCATGGAAGTGACAATTTTGATCGCATTACTGTCACTCGTTTTTCTGAAAATCGTATTTTGGCTGTGCTTCCAAGACCCTACCATCATTACCAGTAGTATCAGCCTCATTCTACCAGGTTTCCTTGCTTTATTTTTCTGACCATTCAACCTTTACACATTCTCATATCTAATTATTCTCTTCCCACGATTTCTTCCGTTTTAATTTTCTCAGTTTCATCTTATTCTTGTTGGTGATCTATTTTCAGCAGATTTGGTTGGTCTCGGACCAGTGTGTGGAGCTTTCACCGAGAGGTCGTGTCTCACCGATACTACCGCTGGACTTACAACGACCACACCAAATAAGTAAATTTCCTCCCCCTTGTGACGCCCTATCCACACCTCCATCATCTGTAACCAACTCTCACTGTTAATTACAGGATGCGATTTTCTAATGAAACCGACGTCATTGTGCACCAACATCGCATCCATCCATCCCATCGTTCTCACCAGTATTTCTCTTTATTGGGATTCAGGGTTTCTCGTCCCTCCCAGACTCTGCTTAAGAGGTAACTCTGACTCAACCTCTGGCCTATTTCCTTCCTTGAATCTTTTCTGGGTTTGAGAAAGAGGTATCTCATTCTCCTCACTCCAGCAAGTATTAGAGTAGCTTGTGCTCAGTTTTTATAGTAAATACTACCCCATTCAGGTAGTAATCTAATTTTTGCAAACATGACCGGGGAATGGCTGGGTAAGGACTGTTCCAATACACTGATCACTAGCTTCTGTGTAAAGTACTATCAGCTTGCTATGGTCTGGATACGTTAATAAATGTATCGCAGTCAGCTGCTCTTTCAGACTGTCAAATGCTCTGAGAGCCCTCTGTCCACTTGAACCTAACATACGTTTTGGCCAATGCTATCATAGGGGTAGCAAGTCTAGAAAATTCTGCGATGAACCATCGGTAGTAGCGTATGTCTCTAATGAACCGCCTTGCCTGCCTTGCCATTTTTGGCTCAGGCATTTCTCTTATTAACTCTACCGTGTCCAGATCGGCTTAATCCCGTTCCCATTTATGACAAATCCCAGATACTTTGTTTCCTCTTTAAAGAACTGACACTTTGGTAATTTCAATTTCAATCCATGACTCCTTAACCGTCCTCTTAAGTGGTCAAAATGCTCTTCGTGTGTTTTGGAGAACACCAAAATATCATCCAAATAGGCGATGACAAAGCCCTCCATTTTTCTCATCGCTATTGACATCAGCTGCTGGAAAATACCAGGGACATTGGTCAAGCCGGCATGATCCTAAACTGAAATAGCCCCATATGGTATGTAAACGTGGTGTTTCACGATCTACCTCAACGAAGGCTACCTGCCAATAGCCTGACCTCAAGTCTATCGTTGAGAAATACTTAGTCTTTCCCAGAAGAACAAAGATGCCATCTATCAACGGAAGAAGCACTGCTAGTGAGACTGCATTCAAATTTCTAAAATCGACACTGAATCTATGCCACCCTATCCGCTTATCCACCACTACTATGGGGAAACTCCAGGGAGACTCGGGCCTCTCAATCATTCCTGATTAAGCATGTCCTTAACCCACCACCCATCCATAAGAGACCACCAGTGGTCTCTTATGGATGTGTGAGGGTGTCCTACACAATCTGAGTTTCATAGGCGCTTGATCGCCGGTATCGATCCGAATTTTCACGGTCTGTCCCAATTTTTTGTCAGATTTAGCTACCACATCACAGTTGGCTCTCAGTAATCGACCTATTCTGGCATTAAATTTCTCAGTGGTTATTATTTCTTCTTCTTTTACTTCCGCTACCTGATTCTATGCCCTCTTCCTTTGCTTGTCATATCTCACCCATTTTATGGACCTTATTATTAGTTTAACAATTAACTGCAGAGTTAAACTTTATTTCGGCTTTATGTTGGTGCAACCAGTCTTCACCCAGAATCATCTCTCCACAAAGATCCGGTGTCACATACAATTTGTGGTCACTATTGGTCCGTCATATCTTCACTGTGAACCTCACCATCTCCACTATAGTCATCGTCTTTCACTCTGCCTGGTTAATTTCGATATCAGGTCTTCTCAACCAACCCCGCAGCCTCAAACTTTTGTACCGATCCTCTTCTGTTAGAGATACAGACGCTTCTGTGTCTATTAAAGCCCTAATATCCCCTTTATCACTGCCTCGCAGCTAATAGTTCCTCATTGTCTTTGTAGTACGGGATCCCCGACCATTTAACTTCATCTCGTGGTGTGCTCGGATAACCCTTCCAATGTTTGCTATCCTAAGGTGTATTGGTTCCCCGCAAAACCAGCACCACCTTCTGGGGCAGTTGGCAACAAAATAGCCGACTTGGCCACATGCCCAGTATCACATACCTCTTATTTTTATAAGCCCCCCCCCCTGACTATTTGTTCTGGGATGGCCCATTGGTGTTTCTCTGTTTCTATCTTCCATGTGCGGGATTGTGACGGGGACCCTGGGGGTCTCTTTTTCTTGAATCCACATCACTTGGTCTAATGTCCGTTTTGGCCACACCTAGTTTTGGCTTGTCGAAGTTCAGGGGCAGTCCACTGCCTTATGACCTTCATGAGTACAAGTCTAGCAGACTAACTCATGTCTGCAGTGTGTAGGCTTATAGAAACCATATCCCAATGACCATGCTCTCATATTGGGTACTTCTTCCCACTATTTCCCACTTCCTTTTCCCGTCCTACGCTCTTATTCCCCGCGGTGGTTTTCTTTCCCCTATTCTTTTTGCTGCCTGCCTTTTCCCAACCTTGAACTCGCGTTCCACTATTCCTCGTCTTTTCCCTTAACTTCTCACTGTATTTGGTCAGATCTATAGCCACTGACAACGTAACTGGGGCCTGCTTTATCACGTCGTGCCTGATTCATTAATTTTCCACTGCATCCATGAACAAATCCGCTAAATAGACCTGAATGGCGGCGTACTGTATTTCAGGGAAAGCTATGGTCGACAATTTTGTCACCTTTGCTTCCAATTCCTTTGTCGTCTTATCCCTTGCCTGGGTGAGATTCATGAGGCTCTTCGTGGCTTTTATTACCGTTCCCTCATCTGCATATTCTTTTATCAGATGATTCTCTAATTCAGCCCATGCTAATCCAGAATCCCTCGCTAGGTGACCCCCTATGAACTCGGAGACCGGCCCTTCAGCTGCATCATATGCCAACAGTGCCATCTCTACCCTTGACAGCATGTAAGTGAGCTGTTTCTTCCCTATGGCCGTTAACCAGTCCTTTAATGCTCCTGTATCTCCTTTATACATTTGCATCGTGGGCCCTCCCAATAGGCTTTTAAATTTATCCAATTTTTGAGGATTGTCCGCCTCACTGCCATCTATAGAGCAATCGGCACCATCACACGATCCATACTCGCTCATTTTCTCTGTCTACCTTACCGTCACACGGGAAATGAGTAACAATCCGACTAAATCCAGTTACAAAAAACAATTCTGTCGGCGAGGTGCAAGAATTGTCGCAATAGAAACACCGGAAAACCAAAAGGTTTTACCTGTCCCTTGACTTGTCCTCGTTCCACTTGCCAGAAAATGTTCGGGGAATTTTAGAACCTTATAGTCAAAATCACTGAAATCCGTTGGTTCTACTCCTTCAAAGAAATGGCCTTTTTCTTCATCCTTCCCTGATTGATCGCGCTGTTCTGTGTCTTTATGTTGATTTTCTGATTTTCTTTTGGCTTCTCCTGGGTTGCGCCTTTAGCCACGACATTAATTATGATACACATGGTCTTATCTTGATCACTGGTCACTATTTATAAGACCGCTGGCCCGTTTCGATCCGGCTCATTCCCACGCTGGTTAGCACTGCCGCCGGTCAACTAATGGTTATCTGCTGACTGCTTCGGTCCTTTATCTGCACTGCACCATGTTGTGTTCTTAGATCACAGAGCAGTGAAGATCGAATTTCCGAGTTGTGGTGAACCTATGCTACGAAAGACAAAAAAACGTTTCCGCTCTTGAAAATACAAATAACATGAGAAAAATAACGCAGAAGGTCGCTGGGTTAACTTTCAATTGGTTTATATTGTCGTTGATAGAACAGAATTAACTCTTCCCGTTAAACTCTCTCTCGTGAGACTACGTGTCTTGCTTCTAAAACTTGGAGTTGGTCAAAATATACACAAAAGATGGTCGTCGAGAATTGTCTTGGCAGAAGGTCACTTGGGATTCAGCAGCTCCTCCTCTGCTGCTGACTGGTCACGTCTGCTGGCCTCAACTAATCATTCGGTTTATATGCATTTCACCCGAATCTTATTGCATCTCAAAACATTAATTTTTCGCCCTCAAGCCCTTCCCTGGTCGTCCAATATGTCCAACACCCGCGGCTGATCGTTTTGGGATAGGCGGCTCGTCTAAGGATCATATTGTCTGGTCCCTGCTGACCTAGGATCATAATTTTGTGTAAACAACCTAAAATAGCTGAAAATTTGTTTTCAGGCGAAAAACTTGATTTTGACTAATTTTAGGTGTTTTCGTAACTTTTCAAAAACAATTTTTAAAAAAATATAACTTTGTGTAAAATACCTAAACTAGTTGAAAATTCTTGTTTTCAAACAAAACATCTCGATTTTGAGTAAAAAACAAAATATAAACTACCTAAACTAGGTCAAAACTCTTGTTTTCTAGCTGCAATAGCAACATTTTGACTACTCGTTAGGTCTTTTCGTAACTTAGGAAACAGTTTTTTTTAATATAACCAAGTGTAAGTTACCTACACTAGTTGAAAACATGTTTTCAAGTAACAACAGCTCCATTTTGACTATATTGAAGTGTTTTCGTATTTTTTTCTTAATATATCTTTGTGTAAACACTCTAACTAGCTGAAAACAGCTAGAGTTTAACTCCTTCTTAGGTGTTTTCGTAACAGAGCAAATACCACTTTTCTTTAATATAACTCTGTGTAAACTAGCTGAAAAGTATTGTTTTCAAGAGAAAACAGTTTGATTTTGATTACATTTAAGTGTTTTCGTAACTTTGCACACACCATTTTTATGTAACTTTATGCAAATTACATAAACTAGCTGAAAACAGTTGTTTTTGAGCAAAAACTTCTCGATTTTGACTACTTTTTATAAGTTTTCAGTGCCAACGTTTTTTTTTTTAATATAACTCTTTGTAAGCTACCCAAAGTATCTGAGAACAGTTGTTTTCGAGTGAAAACATCACTACCGCATTGACATCACTACCGCATTGACATCACTACCGCATTGGTCTTTAGGTTCCTTCAGACCACGGCTGACTCCTAACTTTTTAACGCGTTGCTGGTTTGTCGCTGATATCGTGATGATGAGCACTGTTCCAATCAATCTAGCTGGCGCTTGTCTCCTTCATGACCATTCAGTCCTCTGCCATGTTGGGAAGATCGCCGAT